GGCGACCTAATAGGCGCCGGGGAGCGGCGGATGGCTGCAGCGTGGAGGATCCGGCCATGGACGCGCGGGCAACAGCCACGGCGCCATGGATGAATAGGGATTGAAGATAATGGTGAGATGGGCTGGGCTGGGTACTGCTCATGGTGGGCTAAAGTGTACAGGAGACGAATTTAGTTTTTATCCCTTTTCTGTCAATTACTTTCTTTTATTTCTGTTGCATTTTAAAAGATAACAAAACATTTATTTTGCCCATGATATTTGGCAAATAAATCAAAGGCAATATCATGGAGTGGATGGCAACGTTTGGGGACATTTGGAGAACTTTAAACATTTTTAGGAAAAGAAAAGGTCAAGTAAATTACTGTTGATCCACTTAAATATTTCCCAGGGGCATTTTGAGAATTCAAAAGAGGCTGGTTCCAACGTGAAAATGGTCAGGGGAATTTATAGGACAATGTGAACATTTTTGTTTTACTGTTTGAAGAAATAAATATTTGACTTGCAATACAAATTTGAGTTTGACTTGAATTTTAATCAAGTGGAAATTTGGCAAGGTAAACATGGTGACATGGCAACCATCAGGGGGAGATTACTGTAGCATGATTCTCGGGGTGTTACAGACAGCACCTAAGCACCGGTCCACCCACATACCAAATTATCAAAGTACCAAACACGAATCATATGAACGTGATGAAAACTAGCTTGACGATATTCTCATGTGTTCTCGGGAGCGCTTTACATCATATAAGAGTTTGTCCAGGCTTGTCCTTTGCTACAAAAAGGATTAGGCCGCCTTTCTGTACTTTATTTACTTTCGTTACTTGTTACTCGTTACAAATTATCCTATCACAAAACTATTTGTTACCTATTATTTCAGTGCTTGCAGAGAATACCTTGCTGAAAACCGCTTATCATTTCCTTTTTCTCCTCATTGGGTTCGACACTCTTACTTATCGAAAGGACTACGATAGATCCCCTACACTTGTGGGTCATCAGGGGGCACCACACACGGCTAAGACAACTGTCAACTTGTGTGTTCTGGGGTGTCCCCCTGCCCCCGTATACAAAGGAGCAAGGGAAAGGCCGGCCGGCCCTCATGGGGCGCGCCCCAAGTAGGATTCCTACTAGGAATCCTATTCCTAGTAGGTTTCCAACTAGGAAAGAGAGGGGGGAGGAAGGAGAGGGAGAGAGGGAGAAGGAAAGGGGGAGGGGCGCGCGGTCTGCCCTAGCCGCCCCCCTCTCTCTCTCCACTAAGGCCCATGAGGCCCATTAGTTTCCCCGGGGGATTCCAGTAACCCTCCGGCACTCCGGTTTTATCTGAAACTTCTCTGGAACATTTCCGATGTCCGAATATAGTTGTACAATATATCAATCTTTATGTCTTGACCATTTCGAGACTCTTCGTCATGTCCGTGATCACATCCGGGACTCCAAACTACCTTCGGTACATCAAAACACATAAACTCATAATACCGATCGTCATCGAACGTTAAGCATGCGGACCCTACGGGTTCAAGAACTATGTAGACATGACCAAGACTCACTTCCGGTCAACAACCAATAGCGGAACCTGGATTCTCATATTGGTTCCTACATATTCTACGAAGATCTTTATCGGTCAAATCGCATAACAACATACGTTGTTCCTTTTGTCATTGGTATGTTACTTGCCCGAGATTCGATCGTCGGTATCTCAATACCTAGTTCAATCTCGTTACCGGCAAGTATCTTTACTCGTTCCGTAATCATCATCCCGTAACTAACTCATTAGTCACATTGCTTGCAAGGCTTATAGTGATGTGCATTACCGAGAGGGCCCAGAGATACCTCTCTGATACACGAAGTGACAAATCCTAATCTTGATCTATGCCAACTCAACAAACACCATCGGAGACACCTGTAGAGCATCTTTATAATCACCTAGTTACGTTGTGACGTTTGATAGCACACTAAGTGTTCCTCCGGCATTCGGGAGTTGCATAATCTCATAGTTATAGGAACATGTATAAGTCATGAAGAAAGCAATAGCAATAAACTAAACGATCATAGTGCTAAGCTAACGGGTGGGTCTTGTCTATCACATCATTCTCTAATGATGTGATCTCGTTCATCAAATGACAACACATGTCTATGATCAGGAAACATAACCATCTTTGATTAATGAGCTAGTCAAGTAGAGGCATACTAGGGACACTTTGTTTGTCTATGTATTCACACATGTATTAAGTTTCCGGTTAATACAATTCTACCATGAATAATAAACATTTATCATGATATAAGGAAATATAAATAACAACTTTATTATTGCCTCTAGGGCATATTTCGTTCAGTTACACCACAAGAAGTCGGCGCTCCTAATCAAGATGGATATTGCGAGGGCTTTCGATTCGTTCTCCTCGGAGTACATCCTCAAGTTGCTGAAAAACTAGGGTTTAGTGTCTACTAGCAGGATTCGATCGCCATGATGTTGTCATCCTCCTCATTTGCGTTCCTTCTTAATAAATCTCCTGGTGCACAGATTGCACACTGCTGCGGGCTGAGGCAGAGTGACCTACTGTTGTCCCTTTTGTTTCATTCTTGTCATTGATCCACTGCATGGCCTCATCGCTAAGGCTACGAACTCGGGCACGGGGCATCCTGCCACCCTTGCTAGGAAGAGATGTCAAGTTGCACGTCAGTTTGTACACAGACAACGCCGACATATTTGCCAACCCGATCCGTAAAGAGATCGACACCCTCTTGGAAATCTTGCAGCTCTTCGGCCAGGCCTCAGGCCTATGCGTCAATCCGTCAAAATCTTCAATGGCCCAATCAGATGCAAGGAAATCAACTTGACCGAGATCCTCTTGAATTTTGGTGGCACCATTGTCGCATTCCTAGTCAAAATACATGGGGCTGCGAATTTCAATTTCTAGGATGCGCCTGTTGTAGTTGCAGTTCATCCTTCATCACATCAAGGCACGACTGGCGGAATGGAAGGCCAAGCTCATGTATGTTGCTGGCAGAAGGGTGCTGGTGCGATGCGTGCTGAGCGTGATCCCCACCTTTGCTCTCACCGCGCTCCACACCCAAAAGAAGTAGTTCAAGGAGATCGACAAGGCGTGGCACCTTTTCCTTTGGCCCAAGAAAAGGAGCTTACTTAGGGCAGTTGCAAGGTGAACTGGCGTAAGGTGTGCACGCCGGTGGATTGTGGCGGGCTAGGGGTGCACGACGTGGATAGATTTAGCAGAGCTCTGTGCCTGCGCTGGATGTGGCTCACATTGAATAACCCTGAGCGGGTGTGGTCTGGATTGGTGCTACCTTGTGACACTGCTGATCAAGAATTGATCACCTTTGCAGCTTTGGTCACTTTGGGCAATGGCAAAACCACTTCCTTCTGGCACTGCTGTTGGATGGGCTCGACGAGCCTTGCGAAGCTCTTCCCCAAATTGTACAAAAGCTCTCGGCGAAAGAAGAGAATGACCGCGTCTGCACTGCTCAACGACACCTGGACTGATGACATGCGTCATCATGCAAATGAGGATCTGGTTGATGAATTCATCGTCCTCTGGAGAGCTATTTGCATGGCAAACACTAACCTCTCACCAAACATGTCGAATTCCATCAGTTGGAAGTTCTATTCATCGGGTGAATATATTGCAAGATCGGCTTATCTCATGCAATTCCATGGTTCGACGACATTGAATTTCAAGCAACTGTTTTGGTCGGCCTAAGCATCGGGGAAGGTGAAGATGTTCAATTGGCTACTAATGCAGGACCGTTTGTGGTGCAACGATAGATTAAACGGCAAACACTAACCTCTAACGATCGCACCAAACATGTCGGATTCCATCAGTTGGAAGTTCTATTCATCGGGTGAATGTATTGCAAGATCGGCCTATCTCATGCAATTCTATGGTTCGAAGACATTGAATTTCAAGCAATTGTTTTGATCGGACTAGGCGTCAAGAAAGGCGAAAATGTTCACTTCATACAGGACCATTTGTGGTGCAACGATATATTACAACGAAGTGGCTGGCAAAATGGATACTTCCGCCCCATGTCGTCAGCTCGAGTCCTCTCTTCACCTATTCTATAATTGTCCTGTTGCAAGAGAAATATGGCGAAAGGTCTCTTGATGTCTGGGCTGCTTCTCCCTCAACATTGTTGATTGGGGAGAGGCCAACTGCTCTGCCGACCAAGCTCGCATTGTGATCACCAAGGCCCATGTCCGGGACAAAAGCATATTAAGACAATGTTGATCGTGGTCACCTGGAAAATCAGACAGGAGAGAAATGCCCGACAATGAGATTTGGCGCCTAGCCGGCGCGCGCTATTTAGAGACCGAACTAGGATGAGAAATTAGCTTGCTAGCATTTTATTTTCTAGCTTTCCAATGTGATATCTTTATCACACACCATGTCTTTTTCACCCCTCTTCTACTCTTTTTTTTGACATCTCACCCCTGTTCTACTTAATATGTTAAGGGATGCTGAAGCTCTCAAAAAACACGGTATAAATCCAACCTTCTTGAGTTGCGGCTAATTCTGTGTCTAGTACAGCCGCATGCGAGGGGCTCCAGTTCCCAACCCTAGCCGCTGCCGCCAAGGGTCACCTCCACGTTACATCCATTTCTTCAACAAGTATGGACAGAGTATTAGATTTAAGACACCCTATGGAGGTCCTTCAAAAAAAGATACCCTATGGAGGTCTTTTCTAAAAAAAATAACCTTCGCGTTCTCACACCACTCACTCAGAGATATACTACATCACAGATGCTAACAAGGCGAGCACATAAGAAACACAGCACTACCAAAGTCAAACGAAGCGAGTATACTCGATTACTTATGTAAACCATGCATTCCAGACACACACACCATCATCACATACACCACCATAGCACAACCTCCAGGAGGAGACCTGGATATATTCCTGACTGACTGCACAGCAAAATAAAATTATGAAGCAATTTGAGCGCTAAGCATGAGCAGATTTTGGAGCACAATGTGCCATCCAAATTGCTAGGCTGCAAGGACTATTATCACTATGAGCAGCACCACCCCAAAAATAACCATCAACAGGCATATCTGCAAAAGGGAAATCAGAGGGGCACAGTTAGAGAACAGATATGGAGAATCTTAAAACCAAAGTGTGGATTACTGAATATACCAGAGAAGAGTTCGACTTCTGGGTTTTAGCAGCTTTTGAAAGCTGGCCTTTTGCTTGTGCAGTCGCAGCAACAGAATTGTCGATATGAGTGTCAATGTCATCTGCAGAACAAGGAGAAATAATACAATCAGATAATGGTGGGAAAGTAAACAGTATTGCCCTTCAACATATGAATTGGGTATCGTCTCATCTGTCAGCTGAAAAAAGGTATCACAGACCAATCATTGCTCCTTGATCATGAACTAGCACAGCAAGATCTTTGAAGATCTCATTTACTTCAGTGATTTGGTGTTGAATCTCCTGTATTCCCTGGTCCCTTTCCTCGATGATGGCCTCGTTGAACACAATCTCATTATCCAAGAAGACTAACTCTTGTCTATGGTACAATCAAAAAGGTTAAAGTTAGTGGCTTACTCGAGACATTAAATCATTAAGATTAAGAGTAGCTTATAAACACACAAAGGTTCAAGTTCTTGACAATAAAAAAACATTTCTTGTGCTTAAAGTCACCGAGATATGTCTGCCAAGTTTACAACAAGAATACGAAGCCCAGACGGATACACGATAATTAGATCAATGAAACACGCCATATATGAATAATATTATCAGCTTACCTTCTTGATTCTAGAAGCTGAGTGCGCTGCTCAGCCAACTTATCAGCACCGTTATTCATCTCGGTTGAGTTATAGCTGCAAAGAATTATTAATCCTAGATCAGACCTTTGGTGGCAACAATACAGAAAGAACTCGAGTAACATTTTTAGTAAGAGAAAACAATCTCCAGAACTCGAGTAATATTTTTAGTAAGAGAAAACAATCTCCAGAACTCGAGTAACATTTTTAGTAAGAGAAAACAATCCCCAACAGAAACATTCATACATGTTGTCTCTATCTGGAGAAAAAACAAAAATTGAAAAGCTGAGAGTAGACTATCACACTACATGCAGCAGCGCACATAGATTCTCAGGTGGGCAGTTACAGACATTAAGAAAGTAGGAGTAATTGAAACATAGTAAAAGAATTCCTGTATACTATTTAAGAATGGTTATAAATTACTGAAGTATAGAAGCCCAAACATACAAAAATATGATGATGAGAAACTTTGTTGTAACCAGACAAAGACTGTTCGATGGTTGTTTATTATGTGAAGCTAAGAGAACTAATATGGAAAGACACATGACTACATAGCAATTCCTATGCTACAGTATATCAGCATGTCAATGGAAAAGCATGGCAAATAAGATCAAGAATGCATGTTCATCCTATAAATGCGCCATAACAAACTTTAGGTTCACCCCATGGATGTATAGTCCTCTACTGTTGCATAATTTTTAATACAATTTGTAGTCCTCTGCTGAGGCATACAAGCACTGAAGAGAGCTAAATGGTAAAAAAATATTGAAATGTAAGGAGTGTCATGTCACAGTAGTTGGACAACAAACCGTAAACTCCTAAAGGGGCATCAATTGCAGTTCACTTTCCAAAATGTCTGATTGTAATGGGCATTATTATTTTTATTAGGCTGTCTTATTAGCAAAGGGAGACATATCTAACAAAAAAATGACACATAAACTGGAATTGAACAGACTATTTTAGCATATGAGGTTAACATACTACCTAGAAGAGAGTATACAGTGTGTCAATAACTATAATAAGTCCCCCATTGTTTGAAAGCGAAAAAAGAAACAAGATAATGCATAGAGCTAAAAGGTAGAGCATCTGAGTAGAATATTACCTCTGTGGTAGACCTGTTTGAGTAATAAAAGGAGCATATGCAGCTTCTCTCTCTACTGCTAATCGTTGAGCTTTCTGAAACTCTTTTAGGACTGCTTGGAAATCCTTTGCTAGCTTAGCATCAGCAATCTTTTTGGTAGGCTGTAGTTTAAAACATGGTCGGAATCACATTGTGTAGAAAATTAACCAGAAGCACATATGAAAGAGCAAATACATCCAAAATAATAAAGCCACAGAGGAATGAAGATGCAAAGATGGAAAACAAATATCAAGTGGAACGCCATATATAAGAAATTTGGTTACCACATTTGATCTTTATATTCATGATTCCAGGAATTACTGGCAAATTTTGTCATGGAGGGTATGCCACCACGCTAAAAACAATCATGACCACAAATGTCAAGAATGAAGGAAAACCTCATTAGTTATCTGCCAAAGGAGCCTAATTTCTTAGCACGTTAGTACAAGACAACTAATATTTGAATACCAAATTATATTTGAGGATTCCTGTCATGAATTGGACAGGTTAATTACCATAACTAAACTCCAAAAGCAAAATTGCTTTCCTATGTACTTGCAAAGTGCAAACAGCAAAATAAATTACAGTTCCAGGTTCTGTTTAAGGGACAACATTACAACAGAAGAGATAGTAAGAATCAGCAAGAAAAATATGTATTCATTTATTCAAGTTCTATTATTAATGAACAAAAAATAACATCCAAGCTGAAGTAGTATATGAACTAAGAAAAGATGTAAAATCTACATGGTATCACTCATTTCCATGCTCGGACAAAAGGAGAGAAAACAGTACATAAATGCTTCTAAGTTGTAACAATAAAGGAAATATCAAACAGAAATATGTAAGTAGAAAAAAGGGATAGACACATACGGTGGCTTCAAGACGATGATCCGCCTCACTAGCTTGCTTAAGCTTTTCCGATGTATCCTTCACCAGTTGTGTTATGTGTGCTCGTGTCTTATGTCTGCAAGCAACAGAACTGATAGTTAGATGGCCTATCGTAGCAATTTGAACAAGAAATTAAATGCTACCAAAGAAGGTTAATCGAACGTTTAGTAGTACAGTTAAACATATTAAGGGCTATAACACGGCATGACCAAGTTATAAATGATATAAATCACATCAATTTCAGAAGAAAGAGAGCTAAAACATTTCATTTGGTGTCACTGATGATGGGTCAATTCATGTATAGCACATACGGCCTCACCCGGTGATTCGCCCAATTAACCTACACGCGAAGGTTCAGCGAAGGGATGGGCAATTTGACGCCCTGCGCAGTAGGCGTAAAAAAACGTGTTGCAATAAGCCCTAGGCAATCTCTTCTCTGACATAAAAGATAGTGATTGTTCGCACACATCCACCAAACAAACATAACCTAAATCGGGATCAGAAATCGAGCCGAGGAATTCTCCTCCAATCCCGCGCACGCTTCCGAAATCGTCACAGCGCCCAACCCGGGATTGCCAAATTCATCCCTCAGTCGAACCAAAACGGTCCTCGAAACGAGGGGAGGGGGGTAGGTAGGGTAAAACGGCGACTCACATCCTGTCGCGGAGGTCGGGCGTGTCCTTGGGCGTGCCGAGCGTGTTGACGAGGCGCTGGAAGGTGGCGACCGCCGTGTTGATCTGGAAGACGCCCGACGCGACGGCCTGCGACGAGCCGGCGCCGGCCCCCGCCGCCCGGCCGTTCCTCCGCGGCGTCCCGCGGACGCCGTTCCCGGCCTCCAGGTCCTGGAAGCTCATCCCGCCCCCCGCGAATCGACCGATCGGCGGCCGGCTATCGGCGACTCGACGAAATTCCGGGGAGGATTTTTGTGGAGGAAGAGGTCGCGGCCGGCCGAGAAGGGGGGTTTGGGGCTGGCCTGCTCCGGTGTCACGGTTTGGTTTGGTTTCGTCTCGTGGAGTTTAATTGGAGATTCCGGGATACGTACACACTCGTGGGGTAGAGGGAGCCAAGGGAGGTAATTATGCTGTGCTGGTGTTGGGGCCAGGCCAGGTCGGGAGGGAGCTGTGGTTTTGTCGGGGCGCGTTCGCGGCGTGATTCGCACACGGTCGCACACGCCGGCTAGAGGAGCGGGTAGGGCTAAATTTCGTGTATTAACCCCTTTTCTGAAACCTATTTAAGATTTGACTCTAGTTTAAAAAAATTCGAGATCTGATCTTTTGCTACCGCCAGTGACCATACGGTAAGGTATAACAGCGTACTACCCTACCGCCAAAAACCTTCTAAGTATTGAACACAGTGCATGCTTGTGCCTACCGCCAATCACCTTGGTGGTAGGGTTGTGCAAGCTACCGCCAGCCTGATTGACGGTAGCGATGTTTCCTACCACCAAAGTCCCTGGCGGTAGGCTGTTAGACCCTACCGCCATGGACTCTGACAGTAGCAAAAGGGTCAGATCTCAAAAAAATTCAAACTAGGGTCAAATTTCGAATAGGTTTCGGAAAAGGGCCAAAACACGAAAAATTGCCGCGGGTAGGTGTGGCGATAAACGGGTCACGGTTAACTAATTTTTTTTAGCAGACGCTCATTATGAGATCGAACATCGTTGAAAGTTTGAAATAAATTCAGAAACATGTGTATATCAGTGTCAAGTCTAGAATTTAAACTCCGATGGACTAGTTCCACCACAAAAAACCTAACCATCTCAGTTGCGCTCAATTCACGTGATGAATTAATTATTATTATTATATATGTTAACAATTGTCTTTGAATTTATGTTTTACTCAAATTGTTAGACGCACATGATTAAACAGTACAACATCTAGCAAAAAATAGAAAACAAAGCTAAACGGATCCTTTTCTTTTGCAAACGGATCCTTTTCTTTTGGAAAAGCTAGTTGGCAAACGTCAAATTTTTTGCTCCTCACAGTGAACGCATTGGTTGTCGTTGGATGTGTCGGGCAGACTTGATGAGCGGTTGCTTGCCACCTTAGTTGTTGAAACTCCACTGCAACACAAAAGTTGCACTGACGCGTCCTATTTAAACACATCCTACCCATTGCATTGGCTAGTGTCTCAAGCTCCATCCAAGAGACTCGGGATCAAATCCAGGTTCCTCTTTTTTTCTACCAAGCGGCAGAATATGAATTATTTTTTTGTTTAGATACATGACAACTTTTTAAATTTTCACACGTCAAGTTGTTTTGTACACATCGAATTTTTTTAGAAACTTTCTCTCTTAATCCCATGGCAAATTCATAATATTTTTTGTCTTCTAAGCATGGCAGTTTTAGGGTCTTTTTTGTAATGCTCCCATGGCAAGCCTTGAGAATTTTTGTAACTTATTCACGTCAAATTTATTATTAGGAGCATGGCCTTTTAATTATAAAGAGCATGACAATTTTTAATTTTAAGAGCATGGCATGTTTATTTATTTATTATCATGGCAAAATCATGTGTGTGATTTTTATGTTTTTAAAAATGAAAAATATAAAGCATGCCAAATTATGTATTTTTAACACTCAATTTCTGTGAGCTCTATTTTTCTTAACAACATGGCAAGTTATAAACTGATTGTAGTAAAACTTCTGTGGAAACTTTTCTTATAAATTAGAGGATGGCAATTGTAAATCTATGTTTTTCTCTGTCTTTTTTATAAGTAAAAAATTGTTTTTTCTATTGATGGCAATTTTTTATATAAAAATCAGCTAAATGGGCCTCTGGCCAACCGGGAGGGGGTTGAGGTCGAGCTAGACCCCCACTGGAACAAACGCTCGAGTTTTTTTTTTTTTTGAGGGGGAAAATAGTTGCTCTTTTATTCGTGGTTCATCTCTTCTGCAACCTCGGAGCGAACACACTCCGGAGTACATGAAGCCAAGTTTTATAAAGAGAATCACAGCAACCCTCCCTAGCTAGGATATGTGCTACTTTATTTGCACTCCTACGCACCCAGACCACACGATGCTCTTGAAGTTCTCGAAGCAGGTTTTTGATTTGGTGGACTAGGTGTCCGGTGTGAGAGAAATCTTTGTTTCGTTTGCTGGTTCAATCTTTCCCCAAGTGAACAAATCATTTTCTAGGGGCGACCGCCAGGTATTAGGGTCCTTTTCTTTTAAGTTGAGATCCCTCTTTTAACTATCCGTTGTTATGAAGAAATGGGACCTCTCAGTGAATAAACGTGGATATCGCCTCACGAAGTCTTGGGATTCAAACTTGGGTGGGCGAATTCAACGGCCTAAAATTCTGCCACTGAACATTATAGTCCAGTTCATGCATCCAGGGAAATAAGAGATGAATAGATTTATGACATCATTTAGGGTCAATTGGATTGAATTGTTTTGTCTTATAAGATCTTAATTTATAAGAAAAACTTTGAAATAATATTAACATATGTAGGAACGTTGGAAGGATTTTAAAATTAGCTTTGAGTCTTTGACCTCATCGAAACTAATTTGTATGTTGTACATGAGCCTGATTATCTTCCCGTTTCAACAAGCTCACGTGAAACACTAAGAAGTTGTATTTGTATATTCAAGCAGTTTTCTCCTAATGTGATTCCACATGATCATCAGAAAAATCATACAGTCTCTTTATGGGAAAATTTTGTTTTTGCCATTCTAGTTTTTGCCTAGTTTGCTTATGCCACTCTAGAATTTGACATATCACTTTTGCCACTCTTATTTTTGGACAATACATCACAAATGCCATTCCGTGGCAAAAGCAATAACTTTTCATTTCACTTTTGCCACTCTTACATTTTGACAATGTATCACAATTGCCACTCTAAAATTATTGCTTTTGCCACACAATGGCAATTGTGATGTATTGTCAAAAACTAAAAGTGGCAAAAGTGAAATGTCAAATTTTAGAGTGGCATAAGTAAACTAGGCAAAAACTAGAATGGCAAAAACAAAGTTTTCCCTTTCTTTATTCCCAGGTTTTAGAACCATATTTTCCAAACTTAAGGTCGTGTTTGGCGATGTGATGAATCACAATAATCGCGTCTCATAAACAGATTGTACATGTATTATCATTTAGTTAGTTGCTTCCACATAATTATAAATGAAAGAGAAAACACAAATTGTGCCTTATATACCCGGAAAGTAGAACGTATATATCACTCAATTGTGATAAAAAAAAGATGTTATTAAGTTCGTGTTTTTAGAATGTAGTCATTATAATATGTGTGAACATGGTTCATAAATTTTCGCAAAAAATATTCGGTACAACAACTATAAGTGTAGGGGTGATTAAGGAGGATACTACGTTTGCTTCAACCACTGGTGGATAATTATAGGAAATTTAAAAAATAGATATCCGGGGTAAAAAAATCTTAATCAACTCGTGCTTATATTGACATATATTTAAACATAGACAATAAAAAATCCCACTTTTACAAAATAATGTAAGGTATTAATTAGGAGACAATAAATAATATTAAGAGTTCATAAACCATGCAAGGAGATTTAATTTTTGCCTCCAAATGTTGGATGCATACTTCTATCAAAATCGATCAAAAGGGACGATTTGGACCAATGGTACACCAATCAAGTCGTATTTTTCCTCACAAAAAAGAAAGAAAGAATCAAGTCGTGTTTTATGTTCAAACAGATGTACAATAACTTGTACTCCCTCTGTCATGTAATACTATAGTATCTACGGAGTATATCATAGGACAGAGAAAGTAATGTTAACAAGTGAGCTAATATTGGAGTATAATCGTTTAGTAGCTTCATACTAAATTATTTTTCATTTGGTTTATTAATCGCTTTGGAGCAAGCAGCTATGATATCCTGCTACGGATTTGTAGTAGTAGTAGTAGCTTGGTTTGATGAGCAATCCACCGATGGGACAGACGGCAGCGGCGACGTGGGGGCGAAGAAAGTGGAGCTTGCCGTCGAGAAGTTCAGCTGTGAACGGCACGGCGACCGAGTATAATAATACAGTACGAGACCGGATTTGGCGTCGTGCCTTCTTTTACGGACCTTTTCTTTCCACCGTCGACTGGGTTTTCTCGTATGGCGTCGCTTGCCCAGCTGGTCTCCGTCGCATGGACCGGTGAATGGTGATGATGGGCAGCAAGCAAGTGGCCCCTCTCGAGCTCTCCAGAACCTTTATTAGCTCTGTCGGCGTGCCGAGCAACCTTTTGAGTGTTGACATGATTTTTCCTGAGGCTTAGAGGGTGCTTGGATACGTTTTAGTCCCATGACTAAAAGTAATGAGACTAAAACTTGCTAGCCTCACCCATGCTTGGATACAAATACTAAATAGACTAAAATGAGTTAATGAGCATTTATTATCCTTCAAACCCTCTAATCCCGAACTCGCATGTGTTAAAGGAGAGGAGTTAAATGAGGAGAGAGAGGACTAATCCATATTTTAGTAGGGTTCCCATGACTAAAAAGTTTTAGTCTCAAGACTAGTTCTAGCCTCTTTTTAGTCAGAGGTGATTGGAACTTTAGCCTCTAAAAGAGACTAGTTTTAGTCAGACTAAAAATAGTCTCATGGATCCAAGCATGGCGTTAATTCTCGTGATTAACTACTCTGCAGCTTTTTTTTTAAACGGAGGCAAAAAATTTGCCTCATCTATTAATTAAGATAAGAAGAGAGTTTGTTACAGAAGTCACTCTTACACGGCATGAGTGATTACTCGCATAAAATAATAGCCCCTAATTTCTTTGCACCGGCAGTGACCCAAAGGTTTGCCTCGCAAATGATGAAGTTGAGCAAGATTGTTGGCGGAGCGCTCTTCTGTCGAAAAACACGGGCATTCCTCTCATTCCAAGTGGTCCATGACACG